GGAATTCAATAAATTATTTTTTTTATGATTTTCAGATTTAATATTACATAAATCAAGACCATCAAGTGTACTACTATAATAATTATCACTTTCACGCTCCATGATAGTAAATATTATTTTTGTCCAGTAGTTTAGCCTACTATCACGTAATGTATATTTAATTATACTTTTATTCTCTAAGTGGCTGTTCCATCGACCATGACCAGGATATCAAGTAATATCAAAAATGTTCGTATACAACTTTCTCAATAATAATTTCATATCAAGTAATGAATGCTTGGCTATTTTAGATGTAAGCCAAGGGATCCTGAAAAAATTTTCTGTAATTATTGTACCCCACCTTGCCTTATCGATCAAATTATATTTTTTTTACAAAAATATGCTTTCCTCCTACGACATGGGTTGTAAAGAAATTTAAATGTACAGTACACAGAAGATATGAAATTATACTGGATTTCCAATAATCTGGGAAGACACCCGATGCCAAAGAAAGATTAAATATATAAAAAAAGGGAGGGGCTATTGCATATTTGCAACGTATAAAAAAAAATACTGGAAATTAAATCAGGACCTAGCGAAGTAGAGTCACGGAGAGAGTTTAAAGATTCAAATACTTCAGATAAGGAGATGTGACAAGAAGATAGCGCGTAATTTAAAGCATTCGGAAAATTTAATTGGGGAAAAATTGAATTATTCGATAGTGTAGTATAGTAGATGTTGTAACGAGTGGGTGGCTTTTGTAAATCGAAGAGAAATGTTTAGCAAATATATTAACAATTTTGTTAGCATCGACACTATAGTTATTATTTAAATGCATTGAGTTAGGTAGAGAAAGTGACTTTTGATTTTTAAAATATTTCCAAAAATTTGACGGATTATGTTTAATAGAGTTCTGGACTGAAGATAAATAGTTTGTATAATCGATTTTAGAACGTAGTTTATATTGAGCCCTTAAATTTGAAAATTGATTATTATTAATTACATTACCAGAGAATTTAAATTTAGCATAGGAATTTTTTTTTTCAAAAACTAGTTATTTTAATTGAGGAGAAAACCATCTAGGAAACTTTGGTTCATGTGTAACAATCACCGGAATATATTTATATATAGCGTCGAAAATTATATCGTAAAAAATTTCTAAGGCTTTATTAACATTAAAGTCCTTAAACACAAGTTCCCAATTAATGGAACCAAGGTGAAGAACTAGATTAGTGTAGTCTTCACGATTAAAGTTATAAGATAGTTCGGAAAATGCAAGAGGAGTTTGACATAAAGAAGGACATGCAATGAAAAATGGAGGGTGGTTTGAATCAATTTTAAGTAAAGGGCTAGGTGCTGGTGAAACTATAATATTATCGATATCAGAGAGGACTAAATCTAAAATATCATGATTAGGATTTTGAATGCTATTATATTGAGTAAGATTGTAAAATGAAAAGGAAGAGACAAATTCAGATTCTATTAGACTATTAACGGGATAGTCAGGCCTCAGATAGGTAGAATCTGATAACCATTTTATTTTAGGTAAATTATAATCATCTAATAAGATTAATTTAGAATTAGTGTACTTATTAGTTAATTAATCAATATAATTGAAATTGTAGACGTACAAATCTGCAATATTTAATGGTGGGAAGTAAACACCACCGATAATAAAGGACACACCGCGTATTTTAATTAGAATAAATAATTGTTCAACTATGTGGGAGAAACAGATAAGAAAAATGACGTGTATCGTTTATTAACGGCTAGCAATACACCACCACCTTTGGAATCGTAAGACTAGTTCTATCACTCCGAAAAACATTATATTGATTATAACCCAAACGAGCGGTATAGGTAATTGGCGATAAACAGGTTTCGGTAAAAATAATAATATCATAATCATTAATTGATAAATTACAAATAATAGAGTCGATTTTTGTATTTAACCTCCTGACATTTTGGTAATAAATATTTAAGTTTACAAAAAAGTTTGACCGTTTTTTGAAATCGTTGGAACACCACGTAGATATTTCAGCACTATATCACGTTCACCATCATTCCTCCTTTCCTCCAATTGACTGACGATGTTTTTAAAATAATTACGTTTAAGAAGTGTGCGATCAGATGAAATACGTATTGAATTAAACTTTTTAATATCACGTAGTTTGTGTTTTAACTTGAGAACAGAAAAAACATAACTAGTAGATGAAAGAACAGTTTTTATCGGACGTGGCTTATTTGATAACTTGCCTAGTCTTGTAATTGTTGATGGAAAAATGTTGGCCCTGATTGAGGACAGTAGCTTGGAAACTAGAGTTTCATCAGTAGAAGTTGTAGTAGCAGATGATTCAATTGCGTTAAATACATATAATGAGATTATTAGCTTTGGATTGACGTTCTGTTATCTCAAATAAGATAGCCTCCGTAGAAAGCGTTGACATCTTGAGCTGAAGGTCATTCAATCTATTGTTAAACAACTTATTTTCTTCAATAAGAGAGTTAATCTGGTTAGAAATATTATCCATTTTGGAGTTAGTTCAAAGACACAAATGACTTTTCATGATTGGATGTAGTGGTTTTCATTTCCCTTAACGTACCTATTATGGAATCAATTGTCATCATCAATGTAGGAGAAGAAGTTGATTTCGAGCGATTTCCAAGCCGAGATATCTCACAAGAGTTACATATCAATGAATTCGATAGATTTCCCTCTTTAGATGATTCACATTGAATATGAAAGTTAAGCATACAAATTGAACATTTTATACCACTTTCAGAAAATTTAGAAATATCTAATGAACAAGTAGCACATATAACAGACATGGTTTATTAAATATTAATCAAATATAGATAAGAAATAAAAGTTAATTACACTATGAAAATAACTGGGAGCGATTAACAAGAACGTACGTGTTATATTCATCAACAACGAGTATCGTGTATAGCTAAAAACTGTAACCGTTCAAACCATGGGTTTCATCAACACAAATTTTGTCAAGCCTCCTGGCAGTAGTGCTATCACGCGACCCATTCGCCACGATAATGGGGGTGACTGGTTTTCTCTGACATCGACGAAATCAATTAAGGGAACATTGGAAGCCCCTGTAGACCACTCATGCGTGCTTGAAACGTGGTCAAGTATTCGGTGTACCATTTCCGCCAGAACGACTGGTGACATTGATCTAATAACTTCCATCGGTTCATGAGACTGGACTTGTCCTCGGTCGATGTCCTAGGCGGCACGACAAGCAGTGGTTGGCCGATGAGAAAGTGGCCCGGAGACAGGTAGTCCAGGTCGGCGGGGTCGGACGAAACGGTGTGTGTGTTCGTGAATTGAGCCTACATTCGACATAATATTGTCGTGAACTCTTCATAGGAGAAGTGAAGTGATGATTGCCCATGACACGGATTTATAATCTTTTCATGGAACGCACTACGGTCTCCCATAATCCGCCGAATTGTGGTGCACTTGGGGGCTTGAAATGCCATGAACAATATTGGTGTGAATCACCTAACGCGGATTGTCCCTCCGGGCTATTGATTAACATGTGCAGCTGTCGGTCGGCCCCCACAAAGTTGGTCCCACAATCGCTATAAATGTCAATCAATTCATAGATGACAAAATAATCCTAAGAATACTACTAAAAATACACTCGACATCGATTTAACAGCACCTAAATTAACTTTTAACATTCAATGCTCAGTTTCAGATTCTACATCTATCCCAAAAAACCATATTAAATTTAATAATATTCCAAAAATCCTAAAAGAAATGATAGCCCAAAAAAGAAAAGCTAGAGCCAAATGGCAAATAACTAGACAGCCTCTAGATAAACTTACACTAAATTCTATATTAAATAAATTAAAAAAATAATTTTATAAAATAAACACTGAACGCTATGAAAATAATATCACTAAACTACAATTAACCGACGGCTCCCTTTGGCATAAAACGAAAAACATACTAAAACATAAAGTACTAACCCCACCAATCAAACTACCTAATAACAAACTAACCATATCTGACATAGATAAATTGATCCTCATTTGCCGAATATTTTTTTGAAGTATTCAAACCCAACTATTAACTATTAACCCATCCAACAGCTATTTAATAAAAATAAACCAATCATTAAACAGCACTCTACCCGCTTTTCTATCCTTAAAACACTTCACTCCAAATGAAATAAAATATGCAATCACCAAATTAAAAAATGGAAAAGTCCCAAAATATGATCTCATTACTAATAATATACTCAAACAATTTACAAACAATAGAAGACTCAAATGTAAGTAGTATAGAGACATCTTTCATTAAAATTATTCCTCTCTAGTATTCAAAGTAGGTAGCTTCATTGTGAGCCTTTCTACATCGTGTCAATTTCCATGTTAAAAAAAAAATATTTTATTCATTATTACTTATTGTACTTAATTGTATGGTTAAATAATTCATTGTCAAATAATAATAATAATAATAATAATAATAATGAAAAAAAAAATTGCATTTAACAACGGTTTATTGAATAAATTTATTTTGGGATTTATTTTTAACACTCATTTATGTACTATAAATAGAAGACATAAAGGAAACTTACGGGTATATGTATTCATTAAAATTTTTAATCCAATTAATTTTTTATGTTATTAATTATACAATAACAATTGGTAACAAATAATTTCATAACTTAAAAATTTAAATTTATAAAATTCATATCTACTTGACATACAAAATGGTATAATATGCTTAATAAATAAAAAAAAAAATAATAATTTTTTAGAATGATTTATAAACATTAAGAAAACGGTTTTTAAAACATAATTTAAAGTTGAAAATATAGGAATACTGTACCTAATATTCCTATTATAATATATATAATTCTCACTCGAAATAATTAGCTAAAATTAAATTTAAATTTCATCTTACATATATGTATACATTTATATTGTTATAAAATAAGTATAGTTGCAATTAATTTCTATAAAATTAATTTATTTAGTAAAATAATAACGTAGGTATTAACTATATTTTATACTTCTTTAACAAGTTACACTAAAAAAAATCGGTATTATAAACAATAATTATAATGATAGTATTAATGATAGTGAGAAAATTGCAATAGTAACTGTATAAACAAGACAAATCATAAGAAAAAAAACAATACATAATAATAATAAAAATTAAACTCCAACGAATTAATGATCATTCATTATTGAGTTATCGCGAAAAGTTCACTTTGTTACAAACAACAAATATTCAGTGCAACAAATTAATTAACTATAAAACATGATACGTGTGGTAATACGAGAAAATCCAACAGTTGGACCATTTCATAGAATATTACAGTTTTTTCCATATTTTAATTCAGTGACAATCCGAATTTTACAGTTAGAAATTATATATTATATTGTGTGTAGCTAACATGACTTTGTATGCGTGCAACAGTAACGACGTTTGGATAAGATATAAAAGAAATTTCGAGACAGTTGCAAAAATATTGAAGCCTTGGCCAAAGAACCATAGTAGTCTACACTCGTATTTATCATATATTATTTTTGCTATTCTTATTACTATTCGTATGTGAAAAAAAAAACAATTTTTCCGATTTGTGCGACGTAGAACCGTGTGTGTAACAGTTAATCACGGTGTTTCAGTAGGGAGCGCGAAAACCGTTAGTCACCTACAACCATCGAACTCAAAGTCATGACGTTTAAGTAATGAATACTTGTCACGGACTACGAAGAAAAAACTAAAATTAAATGTTTGTGGCGGCGCAAATCATTGGCCCGTCAAAAGTTCAAACATTTTAAATCGTTCTAAGTGATTGGTTGCTACGGCAGCTGAGGGGGAGTAAGCAGAGTCTTGGTCAACTTTGTCCTGTCTCTACCTACGGTATGTATTATTCATACAAATAACGATCAGTTTAATGTTGTCCTACAAAAACGGATTGCACGAGTGCGGTTTTGGATAAGCATAAAATTACGTGTCGAGATATTATTGAATAGTAATAATAATAGTAATAGTAATAATAATAATAATAATAATAATAATAATAATAATATTATAATGAACGTTGACTGTTGATCGTTACGGTGCCATCGTATCTATCATCATCTCACACGTGCCACAGCAACAGGTGGTTGGTAGAGTCCTCGCGACCGGCCACTTCTGACGCGGCCGTTGACCGGAAGTCCTCGTACCCGTCTCCGCCGGATATCAGCAACAGTTTGCCAGAAGAGCTAATCTTTCTCTGGTTTAACGACTGCCGCCGCAGCTTGGAGAAGTTCTGTGGCAAATGACCGACCAGCGTCAAGAACCGTACATGACCCGTATGACCGTGTGGTACGCCTAGACAGAGGTATGGAGCAAAAAAAAATAAAAAAATAAAACATGAAAAACTCGAAAAAACGAATGGACGAGACAAACGAAATGCATGCCGACGCACATACACGTTACTGTTGGATAATTATGTCGTTGCGTTTTATTTTTCTATTTAAAAAGGTTTACCCTCCACCTCTCGAAATCGTAAGTAAATGTAAATGTATACGTACATTTCTACCTATACTTAATAATCAGTAGTTTCTGTCCACGAAAAATATATTGGACGGAAAAAGGTAACTAAATAAAATTGTCCGAAGTTTTTCTTACTCGTTAACGATTACTATAATTTATACCATAATTATAATTCTATCAGTGTATGATAAAATTTTAAATGTTGGTGTAATTTTTTCTATGGAACACACAAATTACATTTCCAAAGATTTAAAATTCTTATAATTTGATATACATAAAAGTTTAAAGCGCGAGGCTATAACCTATAACCGATTCAAAAGCGCGAGGCCCTGTGCGGTTGCACTTTATGCACACCCCTCGTGCCGGCACTGTATCTCAATCACAAACGCGAAATCTGTTATTTTGAACGAAAATATTTATGGGGGCCAACCGCCCCAAGTTTCGCCCATGCCGGTAGCGTTGGTAAGAAGGCGACGGTCAATCGGCTGTACACGGTTAGTTGTACTAACAAGTGTTCTTCGATAAGAGATCTACAGGCGCTCGTTCCCCGTCACCCGTCACCTACGTCGAAACCGCGATCTCGGATAGGCACGCACGTGTTGACCGTCAACCGATTGTCGTCTCCGAGTTGATGCCGTTTGCTCTTACCGATTGGAACAGGAAGTGTGACGAGTTTGCCGGTGTTGGCGGCTACGGCCGGAATGGTCATGGTCAGGACAACACCCGCACTGGTACCGATCCACAAGAGGTCTTTGACCGCTAGCAGTGACGTGACGCGGAGACAGGCCGCTTTGTGTTGTCTGATAATGTCGTCGCAACCTACGGAAAGGAGCGGAGGACGGCGATGAGGAGGGATTTAAAAATAATAAATAAATATGTTTTGTTGTGTACGAGGTATCGAGAAAACCATCCCCGGAGGAGTCGGGAAAAAATCGTTCCGTGCGACGGGTGTCCCGTCGATCCGGCGCGACGTCAATTCATTGGGGACAACTTATCGTTAGCCCGGTCCCTCGAAATGGTTCGCACGAGAAACACGCGACGGTTTACGAACTGAGAAAGAAAACACTGCGTCACGCAAAGCGTCTTGTGTGAACAGCTTCAGCGTCGTTCTCCGTTATTCGATTTGGCAACATTAATAAATATTAAATCGGGGCGAGTTCCCAGTCACGAACGGACTTTGTATCCACGATGAATTGACGACGGTCAGATTGTCGCACGAATGAACTCGATCGACGTACAACAACCGCGTGCACGTGTCGCTCGACTTACTCGACAGCATTTTGGTGACGGCCGGAGCCGTGTTGATTTCGGCCAGCACTTCGTACGTGACCGAGTGGACGAGACGGAGCACGGCCGAGTTCTGCAACGACAGCCACACTCCCGTTCCGGACACGGCCATGTTGGTAATCGATCGGTTCGAGTCGCCGCCGATAACAAACGAATGCTGAAACACGTCAATAACGATTTTTTTGTAATGATAATAAACAATATCTAGACATGCATCGTTTATGGTTACGATTTGCTGTGCACGTATATAACTGTTTATGCCGGTACAATACCCAGTACGGGGTTTCCGGTTAAACGATCCCGGTACCATTTCCGATGTGCATTGCCGTGCACACGATGTCGTTATACGCTTTTATAGAACGAGTCAACGGTGCATCCCAGGATTTCTTATTTATGGTGGAGATGGTTCAAGGTGAAGTTATTTTTGGAGTGAGAAATGTATAGCTTTTACCATGATGTTTGACATTAATCGAATTTATCGAGACAATATCAAGGCGAATGCATAATAAATATTTATCAAAAAAGGACATTTCAAAACGATCATTATCAAAAACGAATCAAGTACGTTGGTAAGTTATCGACGACTTTTTTATAATTCTATTCCACATTGTCTTAATTACACATCAGCGCTCAGTAGCATACCTATTAAATATCAGTAGAGTATTTTGATTTATTAAATAATTAATATTTCAAAAGGTGCTGCCGTGCTGTCAAGAATTTTTAAATATTCATAACAAAAGTAATATTATAATTGAAAAACACTCATAGAAAACGAAAAACCTTTCCGCTGTAAATGGCCTAATTAACGGCCATCACAACTTTATTCGAATTTCACTTGCAAAGGATCATCGAAACACTATTTTTTCACCGTTAATATTGCTCTGAGAAACGTAGATCGCAGATGACTTCGTAATCTCCACTATACCAATGTCTATGGAGCACCGGACGTGATCATTATAACTCACTTGGAACTGCAACGTGACTGTATCGAATATCTTGACAGTGTTGTGACATGAGCACCAGAGCTTATCACCAACGGGCAACATTTTCGAAACCGGTAGAGCAGCAGACCCAACATTGATGGTCACTGGATCCGACGTGTTCCAACTACCATCTGAATCGTGTAATGGATTACCGTTGTTAGATTTACCGTTTGTTCGAGCACAAAATTGAACGAAACATAATTTCAGTGCACTTACTTGTGTCTGGGTAGTAGATGCATATATCACCGTTTGCCAGCGAAACATAAACTCGGTTGTTCAGGTAGCTGAAACAGAAGGCCGCAAAAACAATAAATCGGTAAACCATCACAATCGAGTACAATCATTTGACACATCATCGTATATTTTGAAATTGATAACTTGTTTTATTAATTTAAAACCCGTATGTGTGTTTAAAACCAATCGTCGAAACAATTTAAATAACTTGTTTAATCGTAACATTTTTAGTATTCCTGTTTAACATTTTACAATCATTTTTATTTCTCGATTGATCGTTATTATGTTATACTTCGATGTTTTACCTTTTAAAATATCTCATGCCATATCATGAGAATCTCATAATTAATATTAAAATTAATATTTTACCAACTAATAGATTTTCATGGTAATCAAACTTGATTTTAGTTATTATGTTTTGTAACATAATATGACATGCTATATGTACAAATCAAACATTCACCACTCACATTGAGATAATCATACTTTTTTGGAACAACGACATCGTATTACTTTTACGGTATCGTGTATCGGTGTAAGGTTTTATTTATTTATACAAGTGAATAAAATATCTTTTGAACTATACTAAAATTTGGAAAAAAAACCAGGAAGCCATAATTTTTTTTTTTTTTACTACAAAAAAATGTTATAATGAATGTACTGGTTTTATATCGGTTATTCATTCACATCGTGCTGCACTCACATGATACAATGCACTGCGGAGCCGTGTTGGATTTTCACTTTGTTCCGTTTGATGCGGATGTTGTCCATCGAATTGTACACGTGTATACAACCGTCTTCAGTGCCCAGCCACATGGTAGGTTCGCCTTCGAAATCAACAGGGTCCATGGGGTACACACCGTCCGGAACACGATCGTTTCCAGCGTCTTTGTCATCGTCCTCTTCGCTCGACGAACTGCACACGAACGTCGAAAACGCGACATTATAAGTGTGTGCACGTACATATAAATTGTTTTGAAGCCCTTTGGATTTAACATACCTGTCCAACTTGATGTCGGGTCCCGTCTGATCGGTGTCTTCGATCGATATGCTGATCTCCGGGTTACTGCTCCGGTCGTCCTTGGCCGTGCCGTCGGTGTGACTGATGGACGAACGGATAAAAGTAAACGTTAGAATAAGTGGAAAAGAAAACGACCGCTTTTCACGGGTCCCAACCGTCGTTTGGTCGACTTACTCGGCGCGTTGTGGTGCTGGTATCGAGGTAACGCACAATATGCGAGCGTTGCACACGCCATTGCACGAGGTGACCGTCGGCTCGGGGTACAGGCTCAAAACGCACACTTGGCCCACGTACCCGTCGCTGTTGCACACCCACACGTCCCTTTGGTTCAACGCTGGCGCTGCGCACGTGAACTGCAGCCCGGCCCTGGTCTTCCGTATAGGCACTGGACCGACGAAATCGGCGTTCGGCCTCCGGTCCGTCGACAGTACTGCGCGCGACCGGTAAACAAACGACAAATGGAAATTAATAAAGTTACGTTCAACCGTCTCGCGAAAGCGGTGCAATTACCGAGTTTTTGTTTGGCTTCGGTGAACGATTCCTCCCAGTTGGCACGTTTCTCCGGTTTCGAAAACATGATCGACACCGTCTCGGTGCCATTTCTATAATCAGTGCACAAATTACATTTCACGTCGAATCCTCCTCCCCTTCCCTCTCGAAAGAGAATGATAATAATCGTTTACCTGGTGTGCAAGTTCAGTTCCAAATAACATAGCTGAGTGTCGCTCGCCTGCCTTTCCAACAATTGTTTGTTCAGTGCGCCGAGCATGTCTTTTATCGAATCTTCCAGGTGACTGTGCGGGCAATGTAACATCGACACCATGTCGGTCATTTGTGTCAACGTGGATACGTCTTCCGACAAATACTCCATTTCTCGAAGCATACGGCGCACGTTTTCATCTTTTACTGAGAGAAAAAAAAAATTAAAACACAACTTGAAGATTGCAAGTGATTGCGTTTGTTTATTATAATTAAAACGTGTGATGAATAGTTACGATAAAACTGAGACGAAAAATGCAAAAGTTTGAACACTGGGATTTGCCATGCTATCAAAAATGACAGTAAAAAATGATATTGTGTGGTACAAAAGATGTTTAGTAACACTTAGAATTCTGCGAATGGAATAGATTGTACGGGAAACAAAATATTGTATAACAGTTTTAGTCGTTTTCGGAATTTTCACATAACTCATACTTCCATCGTGTAGCACAACGCTGAGAACTTTAATATTTTAATAAAACTCGCGATAGGTACCGTTATTTTGTGCATTATTTAAAATTTCCAGAACATTTTTACTTTTCTAAAAATGTACATTTCCTACGAGTATTGATTTTATATAAAAAAAGTTACGTTCAAAGTTTTCTACGGTATATTTATGTTCCGAGAATTTAAATAATGTATCATTTACGTGTGATGTGTCTGTCCAATGGAATAATACTAAAATAAAAGTTAAATTGAAAAATATGATTTAATCAAAGGGATATATACATGTTAAAATGTATGCGAAAAACCACACAAAAACACCCCGGCGATAACGGATTATCAATTTTGTATACGCTTCTTTATAATAAACTTTGTACACGAGCAAGGTTACGTTACCTTTAACTATTTCAACATCGTCCAACGGTATCTTCATGAGTAACTTGTATTTGTTCGCTTCTAAATTGCTCACGACGCTGTTTGGCGAAGTCCTGTAAAATATCCAATAATAGTATTTCACATAACTCCTTTCACAACATCAATTATAACAATGGTGGATATAAGGGGGTGGGGGTGACGTGGCGATCGCCCCCCCCCCCCCCTTGGGTTTTTTTTGTTACTTGAAAAAGCGCTTTATTATATAATGGTTATATAAAATTCACAAGTCGTAACTATAACTTCAAACCTAATAAATTATCACAAAAAAGCTATTCTTTTGAATATCTTATCAATTTTTATATTTTGATAATATAATATAATATAATGTTATCTTAAATCGTGGTTTTAGACACCGGTTATAGTTTTTGAAACGGCAATAAATAATAGAGAGAATAAAAGATATTATTTATAATCGTAGTTTTTGATTATTGATACGATAACAAATAAAATAATTTTACTGCCAATCAGCACCGTCATATGTTATCATTTATAAGTTTTATAAAATACATTTTCATTTTGTAATTTTTTATATATTATTTTGTTTATTTTTTAAATTAATTAACAAAAATATAATAAACCGTTTGAATAATGAAACGAAGTAATTTATACCAATTCTTTAATAAGAAACCTATAATGAATACAGGGAATGGTAAGTAAATTATGTACTGACATAAAAGAGTTCTGTTTCAATTTTTTTTTTTTTTTTTTTTTTAATATTTAGATGACATCAATAGTATTAATCCAAATGATCCCATCCCAGTTTTCACTGTATCATAGTCAGATATAAATTTTCCAGTTGCAGATACTTTCAATTTGTGTTTTGTTTTTTTAATAAATTTTTTTTTTAACTAAATTTAAATTTGTTCAATACTAATTCTATATCCTTTTATTTTAACCATGTAAAAATACAATTTTATGAAATTTCAATTGCATCTCAATAATTATTTAATCACTAATCATTGTTCTTATTAATGTATTATAATATATAATGCATCCACTATCCATATTACATATTAATAAGTATTTATCTATATTTATAGAAAATGAGAAATGCATTTTATTACATAGTTCCACAAAGGACCATGACTCTGAGGAAAACAAATTAGTCACAGGTATCTATTTAAATTTTAAACCTTGGTAAATCAATGTTAATGTTGTTCTATGTAATTTATGTTATATTATTAATGAATTTATGATATATATATTAGTTTTCTTTTTATCTTGTCTATTAACATAAAAAGGTAGTAATATTTCTGTTGTTTTATGATTAATTTAATATTAAATATTATTTAACTTGTACATTGGTATTTATATATTAATAAAAATAATAGTACCTATTTTGTTGTAACTATATTTTTATATTATTGTTAAGTGTCTGTAATATCTATACACACTAAGTACACACAGTATAATTGTTAACAGAGTAGATTCTATGTTTAATTTATTATTTAGGTCAAACATTAGGTATAGGAAATTTATGGGGTCAACAAGTAGATGACTATAAAAAATATACACTCCTTAACCATTGTAATGTACCAAATAATGACTTTATTTTCTACCCATGAAAAAAAGGAAAAGAAGAAAAACGTTATTTGAAAAAAAAACCATTTTGAAAAATATTGTTGGCTTGAATATTCTATTGCTAAATCTGCATTATTTTGTAAGTTTTGTGTACTATTTTTGGCTTCTGAAAAAGGTGGTAGAAGAAATACTGAACTATTAAAATGACTTGTAACCGAAAAGCTAGATCAATATTCTAAATTATTGTGAGTAGATGGCTATTTAGAAACACATCAGAATAATATATACCATAAAAATTGTGTTCAATTCGCTTTTGATTTTTAAAAAAATTATATAAAACTAGAACAAATTGTTGTAAATATGCTTGATAAACAACGTATGAAGGAAATTAAAGAAAATCGACGTTTAAAACCTATTATTAAATCCATCATGTTCCTTGGTCGTCAAAATATTGCCCTTAGAGGTCATAGAGATGATGGTCATCTATTGTACAGCTCTTTTTCTTCAGATCTAAGTTAAAAGTCTTCATCAATTACTAACCAAGGGAATTTCAGGGAACTTCTGAAGTTTAAAATGTCATCAGGAGATACAGTTCTTGAACTACATTTAAAATCTGCTCATGAAAAAGCAACTTATATAAGTTATCACATACAAAATGAGTTAATTGAGTGTATTAGAAAATAAATAACATCTTATATAATAAATTAAATTAATGTGGCTAGATTTTACAGCATTATTTTTGATGAAACTACAGACATTTCTGAAATTTCACAAATGAGTTTAAGTGTTCGATATACACTATCACAGGTAAAGTTTTTGAACGTTTTCTAGCTTTTGTTGACTGCTATAACAAAATATATAATGGTAATAATAACTTTGGGGTAAAATATAATAATGATGAAGCTAGTAATGAAGATTGTAATGATGATAATGATGGTGACATGGAAATAATGACGATGAAAAGCACAAAGAAGATGTTATAGTTGAGCCAAAACTAACAGGAGAACTATTGGGGGAAATAGTTATTAAAATTATGAGTAAAATTGAATTAAATTTGAATAACTGCATTGGTATTTCTATTGATGGTTGTTCATTTATGGAATCAACTTTAAAAGGAGGAGTTTAATATATTCAAAAATTCACTAAACGTGCACTCTTCTGTCCTAGTAATAATCATACACTTAATTTGTCTATTTCATGATCTTTGACAGTCCAATCTATTCGAAACAGTGTTGGTATTATGCAGCGAGTGATTTCGTTTTTTTTAATTAAATATGAGCTAAATGTAATTTTGTTTTGAAAAAATACTTAATCGCTCTTTTGTGAAACTATGCGAAACACGGTGGGTTGAAAGGCATGACAGTGTACTAAAATTTAAAAGTTCATGAACAAAAATTATTAAAGCCTTAACTGAGGTGTCAAATCGGGAAGACACAGTCTCAGCATCTAAAGCAAAGACATTAATATTGTCATTGTGCAATTGTGAATTTATAATAACAATATTTTCTTTATCATCAGTACTCTCTATTACTTATCACTAGGCTTAGGGATTTATAGCTCTAAAAAATACACAAATATGCATGCAAATATGCTTCTAAAATCATTTAAATATGCATTATAATATGGATTTATATGCATTAAAAAAAAAAATGACCACATAGTACATAAAATAAAACGTGTCCATCGGATGTAAATGTATCTTTAAACTCCGAAACAAAACTTTGTAGTCGGCTACTCGTAGACTGTTGTACTTTCGGCATTACATAATGTTAAATATAATGTACAAATGTACAAAATATGTATGATGTTTTATGTATGATTCGATGTTGCATGGTTGCGAGACGCAAAAATAACGACGGATAATAATCGACTGAACTGAACACTAAATAAATACTCTATTATTCTATATCAATTATCTTTATCGAAATCCGATCGATATTCAGAAACGATCGATACGGGTTTATAGTATTATTTATACTAGCACAAAAATTATAACGAGATATGTGAGGTAGTTTGCAGATAGCATATTATTGGAAATATTTAGTACATTTTTTTTCGGTCATTTGAAATATGTATATATAGTTATATGTATGTATAGTTTTTAATTTTAAATTTAAAAAAATTGTCAAAATATGCAAAATAAGCATAACAATTTTAAAATATGCACTCTCCTGCAAAATCTATCAAATATGCAAAAATATGCACATTCAAATTTTAGATCTGATATCATGGCATCTAAAAACGAATTTATTTCGCACTCTGCTATATTTAACAATAATTAAAAAAAGTATGCAAATGCTAGAAGTCCCTAAGCCTACTTATCACGCAAGTAATATTTTACAAGGGAAAAATAATGACATATTATCGGCAAGTAATGTAGTGCAAGATATAGTAAAAGTATTGGAAGAAAACCGTTTTGATTATGATATTGTATTCAAAAATATTTATTGTGAATGTAAATCTATAATGGATCAATTAGATATAGAACTAAAATTACCTATACTCAATATTTATCAAAAAAATAGACCATATCCAAGTAATATCGATAACTGTGAAGACTATTATAAAATCACAATTTTTATTCCACAATTGGATAGCATAATTGGAGATTTAAAACGAAGATTTCATGGCCAGGGTAACCAGACAATCCATACACTGATATATTTTATTCCGAAAAACCTAAGTAAATGGTCTCAGAATATTAATATTACTAATATGGTAAACACGATTAAAACTAGTTATCCATTTCTTAATAAAATTAATAATGTACTGATGAAATCAGAAATTGATTTATGGAAACAAAAATGGCATAGCTATAGACTTGAAAGGTAAAAAATTACAATTTATATCAAATAACTTCATAATATTAAATTTAAAAATTTTAGCTAAATTTTTACCGGGAAATGTATTTCAAGCATTAAGATGAATGTTCTGAAATAATATATCCTTCAGTTATTTTATTGCTTAATATTCTTGCTGCTTTGCCTATAAGCACGGTTTCGGCAAAACATAGTTTTTCTACTTTACACAGGTTAGAGAATTCCTTAATATTAGAGGTTACCATAAAATACATTTTTCAATTTGCCACATTTATGTTATACAGCTTATTTTTAATTTTACTTCTTTTAACTTTTCTGTCCATATAATGACCATATGTCCATAATATGCTTTCCTGCTTTTAGTATTTTGCTTATTACTTTTTTTTTAGATCAAAAACGTGAATGGGTTGAGGTCACGCATGGGTGAGAAAATATTAATTGGCTTAGCTTTAATCAATACACCTAGGGACATACATATTGACGTGGAAAAAATAATTGATCGATTTGTGGCTGATAAAAAAAGAACCATACAATTGTTACTCTAATTAATTATAAGAACATTAAATATACTAATAAAATATAATACAATATTTTTTTTAATATCGAATAAAAGAAAATTGGATTTTAATACTGATTAATTTTTTGTTTTTTTTTTTTTTTAGAACAGATATCTACTGATATCAATGATAGTGTAGATATTGATATATTTATTTTTAGACTTTTTCTAGACAGTTTAAGTAGTTTAAAAATTAATTAATCAAATTTATAAATATATACAGAACAATTTTAAGGATTAAATTATTGAAAACTAATTTTTAAATCCATGCATGTCGATTTGTAAGTGACTAGTGAACTAAAGATGTGTCCAGTTGTCCAGAACTCCCTAAAATTATTCAAAAATGCTTTGGACGTGAAAAATATTATAAATGTATAGTATATTAAAACAAATTTGGACCTTCCCTCCCCCAGAAATTTATTTTCAGTTACGTCATTGTTAGTACCTATGAATCTATGATACCAATTCGCCCCCTCTTTAAATGAGCTACAGATCTGTTACTGTATTATAAACACAGCATAGCGCGGTTTTTGGCTCATTAGTGCGCTACAATAATAAAATGTTTGAAACGTTCTAAGCCATCATCAGTAACAGAAACGCAGTCAAAAATATTTTGCGCGACCACAACCAACAGTGGATCGCAACGAATCAACCACACCAAATGACTACGGGGCTTAACAAGTCGATTGTGAAAAACGAGATCAAATAGATCTGCGATGGAGCGAGCGAGTACGGCATTCGATGGGATTTTCGAAGGTTTGTTTTCGGCCGCTTCAAACGACATCCGCTTTGTTTGTCCATTACACGTGGCCACGGGTTTTCGTTGTGCGATTAGTGTTAACAGTAGATACTATATCAAAGCTATCAACAATATTTGAAAATCTGAATGGAAATTTACAATTTTGTACGTTCGAAAGACAGATACAACATATACGGATGTGGCGTCCTATTAAGGTTGATGTAACTTAAAATTAAAGTATATGCGTGTCGTTTGATAAATATTTTATTTCTGTCCCCGATTGATTCGCGTTATCGAAATTCCAATTTATTCCAAAATGGTTTTTAATGTTTCCGTATTGTCACTAAAGGTACCAATATCTTTCTCAAGTGGTTACGGTCGCTTACAACAGCCTCACAGACAGATTACGGGCAAGTCAGGACAGCAGTAAAATACAGTATATTTTATATGTCAAACAACGTGTCGAATGAAGGTACTCACGTCGACGGTTTACGTATGGTTCCGCTCTTTCTTTTGATGCTGGTGACGATCAGCAAGTCGGAGAACAAGAATAGCGCTCGTTCCTTACGGTTCATCGACTGCCCGGAAACGATGGTCACCAAGTCGTGTCTGAGGAATGTTCGGTCGGTGGCCGCCAAATGTATCAGCCCGTCGATCAGAGATTCGATCTGCTCCAACTCTAAGTTGTCTCTTTCGGTGCAGTTGATTTTCACCGCCATATCGTGCACTTGCTTTTGCGATTCGATCAGCGACTCGTGATCTGGATGCGTTGACTCGGTATGTTTCAGCAATGTCTGAAAAATATCAAAAACAAAAGCCGAACCTTTGAGACGGTTGTGTCGTTTTTCGTGGGAAAACCATCGAAAAAGTACGTGTTCCGAAACCAGATTTTTTTTTTTTGTTCTAATAATGTTCGTAGCTCCGCGTGCACGATAAACATTGGCGAACCGCTTGCATATCACTAGTAATTAACGATAAATACCTGTATGAGAAGTTCATATCTGGGTATCCGTTGAACGGGCATGATGAGCAGCGAATCGAGTGCCAACTTTCCTTTGTGTTCCCGAGCTGTGGACTGCAAAACAAAAGAAACAGAAAATTATTTTCGAATCCGTTCGAGATCATACGTATCCACGCATTGTCTGGTCGCGGCTCATCAAGAAATTTGGCGAATTTTTTTCACCATCGTACCTCTAAGTATCTCGCGAACGCTGGTTTGGAGTTGCACGTTGTTTTGATAGCTTCTTTGGCTTGTTTCCAGTTGTTTATAAACGATGTGTACGAATCTATCACAGGCTTTTTGGAAAACTAAAGAAAAAACGACACATTCATATAGTTTTCGAGTTTACGGTTCGATTGTTATGCGTGTACAAACCATTTCTAATAAAATGTCACCGATTCTCTGGTGCGCGTCCCAAATCTCGAGACGCTTGTGCAAATCTTTTAGGAATTTTTCGTGCTCCATCAGGATCTCGGGTATCTGAAAACAGCGAATGATCATTACAACTCATATGCAAACGGAGAACCGAGTATAATACGGCATAACGAATCAGGTACTTGATAAAATATTTCGTCGACGACCGATGGCTCGATGAGTCCAGAGTTTTCGGCGCTCTTCAGAGGTAATAGGTATTTCTAAAATAAAACCGTAACGGAACTATTAAATATTAATGATTATATTATTATACAAGGAGCAAGTATTCTTCCACATAAAATTATAGATACCCGGTGTATTATACACCATATAGTCGCGGAATAAAACGGTTTCTTAAGAATTAGAAAAACGTAAAAAAAACTACTATAGTATGCTGGTCCAATGAAACAAAACTGTTTAGTTTACAGTGGTCTTTTTTTTTATGCAAAAATAATTATCTGTAATGAATGTTCTCATTTTCTGAAGTTAATTCGATTTTTTCTACCTTAAACATCTAAAACAAAATTACACCCTAAAAAAATGTCCCAAACTTATATAAATTCCTTAAATATTTAAATAGCTTACAAAGACAAATATTATACACAGAAAGAATATTTAAAATCTTTTTCACTATTAATTTCTGTATGTATAATTTCTAACCTATCTACGAGAATATTAATTACATCTTACGAGTATATCCCAGAGAATGATAAATTTATAAATTTACCTTTTTTTTTCTGCATTTCTAAAAAATTATCTTTGCATGGACTCTTAATGGTTATGGTAATTTTTCCGATCAGAACAGCAGATTGTTATTATTAGAAAACCTAGAATTTGACTAATGAATAACGATAAACATGACCATTATATAAGCCCTCGATAAATCACTTTACTCGGTCGTGTTTGATAACACTAACGAAGAATATAATATTATCGAAGAGCCAGTAAAATAAATCTTATAGACATTAATTTATACTACATATTTTATTCTCAACAGTTTTATTACTATTCACAATTGTCGCGAGTCGATAACTCAAAATAGTGTATGCAAAATCTACACACATAGACGTTTGATTTAATTAATACGAATATGGGTCAAGTTCATCGATGGTTGATGGGAACGCTTGGCTCAATATTATAAACCATAATCATGAAAAGGTTGCCAACGGATATAAATTGAGATTTGGTTACAAGGTTAGAGTTTAAAAAAAATTACAAACACCCAATATGACCCTTTAGTAATTATAACAATGTCAAACACATCAATAGAAATATATTTTCAATGAGATCATGGAGTGAAATATTGAACAGGGATGGTATCATTCGAGTGTGGTTTTTATATAAACAGATAGATATAAAATATGATTTTTACGGACTATAGTCTATTTCTATAGTTTTGAAAAAGTTAAGAGATGTGATGTGACACACTATGAAATACAACGAATGGGCTTCGCCGATGATATCTAATAATATCATATTATTATTGTTATTAAAATAATATTTCAAATTTTAGGGTGGTTTTGTAATGTTTTATTTCAATAGTAACATAGCGACTAAACTGATTATGCTGAATTCAGTAGGTGACTTCAATGGAGAAAGTCGAAATAAGAGGACTAGATGAAAAAAATAAATGCTGTGGGTATTAATAAGGTACAAGTAATAAAAATTTGTTGTTAATCGAACTAGTTTTTGTATCAAAAAATATTAAAAATTTATGGAATTAAAAATACCTTACTATTACTGAACTAATATTATCTTTCCGTAAAATCAAATAACTTTTTTTCTAGGTATTTGATTTTAAAAATAACTTTTTTTCTAGATTTATAAAAATAGGCGTATGGAAAAAACACTTTTTTATTTCTAATTTTTCTACTCGTGTTAATAGCTAACAGGTCCAATAACTCTATGATAGTCTCTAACTAAAAATCTATAGATGTTATGAGAATCGTTGTTAACTGTTTGTACACAGCACAACTTGATAACTTTTGTAACTGCGATTAAGAATATAGTAGTTTTATTGTTTAATTAATAATCTTGCGCTGTTTTGATTATTCGATGTTTCATAGTTCAAGTCGTTCATAATCTATGATATAATAGGTTTTTTATTCGATTTGAGGGTTTTTGAATAAGCTTATACTCATCATAAAATACATTCCTGTCATACACCATCACTGTTATAATATCTGAAACGATTTTAAAACGTAAAGCGTATTATTTATATAAAAAAAAAAACTCACGATACTCGTTAATAATATATAAAATGCTTATTGATGTAAAACGATAGAGTCGGAGATTTGTAGTATTGAATTACGTACGAAATGTTAGCGGTCAATTTTATGAGTTATTTATCATGATGTTAATAGTTATTTAAAAATATTATTAGTATCATATATCTATCATATATCTGTGCGCATACAACGCATATATATATATAGTCGCATTTCGAAATCCTATTTAGCCCACGGCAACATTTTTCTATGATTAACATGATGACTTGCTTGAAAAAGCTGTAAAAAATGTACCGGATACATATGAGCATACTAACCTTAAAATAAAAATCGAAAACCTAAGTAAGAATGACATAGTACAGTTTCACTTGGCAATATGCGCCATCGTGAGTTTTTCTGTATGTGGGTACGCGTGCGTGTGTGCCGGAGAAGAAACCCAGACCTACACGCTACGATGAGCAAAATCTGATCACGACGTTGGTGTCCGCATGAAATCAAATTCGAATTTTATACACAATTTGAATAATCTTACACTATAGCAACGGATTTGTCTCGGACGCGGCCGGTTGTGTCTATAGGATCATACGACGTACATTTACGAAATTCGATTTATAATAATAATATATAATGACAAGCGCCAAAAAAAAAAAAAAAAAAATAAATGAAGTATTAACTATGCGAAAATATCGGATTACAAGTCATTCGTGGGCGAGTTACGGGATTTTTAATTATTACCCAGCACTTTCTCGGCCTTCGTGTATTACGCTGCTATGCGTAATATGTAGGTTGGATACTCTAATTTAAAAAAGATTTTGATTTAATACTGAAACGATTTTTTATAAAAACAGTGAAAGATTTCGATTTAATTTGGTGAGCAATTACACGTTTGGCCGTCATCAACTATAAATACTTTTTTTTTCCAATCTCATTATCGGTGTAATTGAATATTAATTTTTGTCGGATTAGAAGTGGATGATTTAAACTTTAATCAATGCAACGTTGTCGGACGTTTTCTAAAAAGTATAGTATGACTATTTTCTATTATTTGTTTCATAAGCCATCGCTTATCGTTTTCGCCATCATCTTACTTACATTTTAATCACTATATATTTAAATATGTATTGTAATAGAACTGACAACATTCTCTGTGCAACACTTTACTCTCAGCAGATACACTTATCAGCAGTGGCGCATTTAAGGTTTTTCCGCCTCTAGGCATTTTCCACTTCGCCGCCTCCCCCCCCCCTCCAGCCTTCCAAAAATTATTAATAAAACATATTTAAATATACAATTTATTATATTATAATATTATATTAAAAAATATACATTGTTAATGAACATTAAATTACAAACATTAAAACTTTAAACTTTTTCCCTCAGCAAATGCATCAATTAAACCATCGCAATTTAAAGTCGACAGTAAATCCGCTTCGATATTCAATATAGCCAAACTATTGAGCTTTTCAGTACCCATAGTCGATCTTAAATAATTTTTGATTCGTTTAAGACATGAAAAAGAACGCTCAATAGTATAGTTAGAAATTAGAGTACAAACATATATTCTAAGTGTTATACTCGTATCTATATTAGGACACACGTCCGTAAGAGTATCTTTTCGTAATAATTTACACATTTGTAGAGAAGAAATGCAATTCATTTGTTTATTTTAAGATTCCAAATCGGATTTAAATTGTATACATACTGTTAAAAATGCTTTTTCAATATCACCTTTGTAACATTCTTGTAACTCATTGGCAAATTCTATTATTTCCGAAGCTTGTGGATTTAAAGACAGACGGCTCCATAACGATAAGCGGGTATTTCCCTGTCATTATTTAACTATATAGTATGGTGTTTGTCTGTCTGTCTTTTTATGAGAAATTGAACCCGCATTGAATGCGCGTATGTTTTGTTATCCATGTGCTCGTACTGTGTTGTGTATGTGTATAATATAGTAGATACATGTAGATAGATGTTTAATTTTGAGTGAATAAAAAATTAGTTAAGATTGATTTCATCAAATGAATAATACTTTTTATAATTTTGTAAAAAAAAAAATCGTTGAAATTTGCCGCCCCCCCCCCCCCCCGATATTGCCGCTCTAGGCCTAGGCCTACAGGGCCTGTGCCTAAATACGCATCTGCGTATCAGCTAGTATTAAAGCAGTAGCATATATTCCGTACACAGTCACACGATTAGGGTTCATTTTTCATCGTTACGTGTTTCCAAGTCTATTGTAATGGAAAACGGACAACAAACGTACATCATAATATAGGATATAGGTTTTTTTAGCGAAACGCGTGTTTAAGATGTGGTTAAGGGCCAGTTGTACGGTTGTTGGTTACATAGTGATTAAGTGTTAAACTATGATTGACGATGTTGGCTAGTTGTACAGTGTCGGTTAACCTTCTAATCATTGATTACAGGTCCGTAAAGTTAATGAACCATCCGAGGTCGGTTAAACACTAATCAGTTATATTAATTTTTTTTTTACTTATTACAAGATATCAAATTCATTGTTATTGATTTATTTTTTCAAAACTCATATTTCTCGTAAATTTGTTAATTAACTGTCTTAGGACTAGAGCTCAGATGTGTATGAAATTGCATACATTGCTCCACTTTAATTTGAGCCTAGATATAAATTTTATCCATGATGTACTAAATCAAATATTACTATTTTTAATTTTTATATTTTTGCTTATTTTATGGTTTTATATTTTAAATACATATTTTTGAGATATTAAGAACTAAATGTATATTTCAATACATTTTTCGAATTTTTTTTAAAAATAATTTAATTTGACGGTTAGATAAATACAAAATTATCAACTTGTATAATCGTATTGTTCCAAACATTTTTCGGTTCAAATATGACCAAATTAAAAAAAACTAATGTATCACGGCGTAACGCTCATATTTTAAATTAGTATATAATATTAAAAAAATATAAAATACAAAAATAACAACTGATAACAATTAAATATTTTAAC